GGGGACAGCGAATGGCTCAGCGACACAGAGACATCCTCCCCCTGGGATGATGACAGCGGCCGCATCATCAGCTGGACCGGCTCCCAGAAGTCCCTGCGTGGCCCCCACCTGGACCTGGCTGGCAGCAATGGGCACAGCCTTCACCCCAGTCCCCGGGACGAGCTCTAGGTGAGGCCAGGAAGAGCCCCCAGTCCTGCCCGAGACCTGGGCTTCCTCTCCTCTCCTCACACAAGACGGTCTGGCTCCATTTCCTTCTTCCTAGCCATCCTGTCTCTGTCGGTGTCCAGCTTTATCTTTGTGTCTGTGTCTTTGGTTGTCTCTCTGTCTCTCTGTCTGTCTCTAGCTCTTTCCCTCTGCCTGTATCTGGCTCCGTCTCTCCCTATATGCTGGCATTTGTCTCTCTTTGATTGTTTCACACTCTCGTTCTTTGTTTCTCCCTGCCTTTCTTGGCCCAGGTCCAAGCAAGAGTGCCTGGAGCAGAGGGAGAGATCACTGGCAGGAGTCACCGGGAGCCAGCACACACCTCGCTGTCAGCTTACGTTTGGCCACTCTGCCCTCCATTCAAGATGGAGCCCAGCCAGCTGCCAGTGGCACAGACCTGTAATCCTAGCTACTCAGGAAGCTGGGTCCTAGAAGACTGGGCAGAAAAGTCTGGGAGATTCCATCAACAATTAACTATCAAAAGGCCAAGCTGAAGTCATGGCTCAGGTGGTAGAGCACCAAGTGAGAAAGCCACATAGTGAAAGTGTGGGACTCAATGCAGGCCTTGGACCTCAGCTTCCAGGGTGAAGCTGGATTGACCCCAGATATATGTTCCCTGAGAATTCAGCTCCTGGACCCCTCTGTCCCTGTCTACCTCCTCCTCAGTCTCCTCCCTGGCTCTATACCTGGACCTCACCAGCACCCTCTTGGTTGATGGGAAGAACAGAGAAGTGGACACTGCAGGCCTGGTGCTCAGTACATAGTAGGCCCTCAATAAAAGCCTGCTGTATTTGCACTTTATACTTCTTTACTCATGGCTGAATCGCTTTGCATCTTCCCTGGCCTGAGTTGGATCTGGGGTGAGTTGGGCAGCCAGGGGAGGAGGATCAACCGGCCCAGCATCGCCTCCTGCTGGCTGTCTTGGAGAGGAGCCACTCCTCTTGGGCAGTCTTGTCTCCTTTGGTAGATTTGGGAAGACTTTAAGTCTTGAGCTGAGTAGCTATCAAGTAACTGGGCAACAAGTGATCGCCTGGTGGAGCTGACATGGTTATCACCAGCCTCACCTTGCTGGTTAGGTTGAGCCCTTGCCAGCTGAGAGCTGTCAGTGAGACCCCTGTCCCCCGCCCCACTTCATGCCTGCAGAAGGCCCAGCGGACAAGAGGCGGGCGAGGAGCAGTGGTGCCTCTAGAGGCGCAGCTAGGACTTTGTGGACCAGCGCGCCCCCTGCTGGTCAGTGATGGCAATGGAAGTGGAAAGGAGGGTGATGCACAGGACCCTGGGGCCAGGGAGGCAGTCACAGCTCCAAGATTTTGGGCTGTTCTGGCCCTTCTTCCTTCCTCTAGCTGTCTAGACCAGGCTTCCAGGCCCCACAGCTATCTGGGGTCTGGAGAGGTTAGGAGGACATGGCTCCTTGCCCTTGGCAGCCCTAGCCTCCTTCAGGGCAGGGACCCCGGTCCTGGCGTCTCCCCCGCTGTGTGAGCACCCCAGTTCTGGTAGAACCCCACAAGTGCCCTCTGAGGTTGAACCATCCCTGAGCTCTGACCTAGGGGTGAGGGCCAGCACCTGCCGTGACTGTGGGAAGGACTTTGGGCCGTTAGTCCTGAAGGGCTGTGACCTTGGGCCAGTCACTTCTTCAAGTGCCCCTGTCTTCCTTCAGTGGATCGACTGAGCTCCTGCTCGGTGCCAAGATAGGGTGTGGGGTCACCGCCGAGATTAAACTGGCAAGGACTGGCTGAGGATGTAGCACAGCAGCAAGCTCTTACCCAGCATGCACAAGGCTCTGGGTTCCAAACTCAGCACTTAACTTACTTGACTTCAGCTACATGTGGTGGCTCACACCTGTAATCCTACTACTTGGAAGGCTGAATTACAGTTTAAGTCCAGCCCAAGGAAAAAGCTGTCAAGACTCCATCTCAACTAATGAGACAAAGGTGGGTTTGGTGGTAAGGACCTGTCATCACAACTATGTTAGAAGTGTAAATAGGAGGACCTCAGTTCAGAGTCAGCCCAGATACACAAATTGGCAAGCTACTTCTCCCCAGTTACCCAGCAAAGAGCCTGAAATGAGCCGGTGGCTCACACCTATAATCCTAGCTACTCAGGAGGCTGAGATCTGAGGATCACAATTCAAAGCCAGCCTGGGCAGGAAAGTCTGTGAGACTAATCGCCAGTTGACCACCAGAAAACTGGAAGTGGCACTGTGGCTCAAGTGGTAGAGTGTTAGCCTTGAGCTGAAGAGCTGAGGTACAGGGCTCAGGCCCAGAGTTCAAGACCCACAACCGACCAAAAAAAAAAACCTGAAATGGAGGTATAGCTCAGCTGGAAGAGTACCAACCATGAGCCTATCCAAGAGAGACCATGATTTAAGCCCCCTTACACACACACACACACACACACACACACACACACAATACACATACACAATTAGAGGGTCTCAAGTGCTACACAGGAAAAGGTAAGAATTGAGCCGGGCGCTGGTGGCTCACGCCTGTAATCCTAGCTACTCAGGAGGCTGAGATCTGAGGATCGCAGTTCAAAGCCAGCCCGGGCAGGAGAGACCGTGAGACTCCTATCTCCAATAAACCACCAGAAAACCGGAAGTGGCGCTGTGGCTCAAGTGGTAGAGTGCTAGCCTTGAGCTGAAGAGCTGAGGGACAGCGCCCAGGCCCAGAGTTCAGGCCCCACGACCGGACCCAAAAAAAAAACAACAAAACCCTTGAGACCTTAGTCAGACACTGGTGGCTCACTCCTGTAATCCTAGCTACTCAGGAGGCTGAGATCTGAGATCACGGTTTGAAGCCAGCCCTGGCAGGAAAGTCCATGAGACTCTGATCTCCAATAACCACCGAAAACCGGAAGTGGCGCTGTGGCTTAAGTGGTAGAGTGCTAGCCTTGAGCTGAAGAGCTGAGGGATAGTGCCCAGGCCCAGAGTTCAAGCCCCACAATTGACTAAATAAATAAATAAATCACATTAAAAAGCTTGAGACCTTGGATAAGGGAATACTTACCCTATTCTCTGCCCATGTCTGCAGTCCCACCCTCCCCCACCCCAGTACTAAACTTAAGTAAGCCCTGTCTCCTCACTCAGACTCTATTAAAAACTCTGACTCAAAACTCTCCGTAGCTCAGTCTCAAAGCCCACGGGAAGGCTGGGTTCCTCACTGTCCTCAATAGACGCTCCTAGCCAGTTGAGAACTGAGTCCAGCTTTTTCCTTTTCCTTTCTCCTCCATTTTCCTAACAGTCTCCTGAGTAGTTAGGATTACAGGCATGAGTCACAGATGCATAGCTATCCTGAACTTAAATTTCAGATGGGCGTGATAAGTAGTATTTAGAATCCTAAATTGGGGACTCAGGTTCGGTCTGGGCTGGAGACAGAAGCGTGGGCCGGCTGTGATCACATGGGAGATCCCCTACGGGTAAATGTTCATCTCCACGGGCAGGCCCACCTCCAGCCAGTGGTCACAGATCCGCGCCCGCCCAGCCCTTGGGAAGCACTGGTCAATGCTCTGTGGCCTTTTGCTTCTTCAAACTGTCCTGTGCATGGCCCCTCATAGTGTGTGGCCTTTCAAGTCTGTCTTCTACCCAGCATGATGCTTCCAGGTTTCCCTTGTGTGTTCCAAGGTGTTTTAATGGCTTAGTAGGAGTCTATTGTATGCCTCAACCATAATTTAGTTAAGACGTTGATCATTATTATGACACTTGGTTGTTTCCATTTGAGAGCTATTAGAAGTAAAACTTCTTTGAATATTTGAAGACAGGTGTTTGCGTGGATGCAAGTTTTCATTTTCTAGGAGAGAAATGGTCATACCTAAAGGTCAGTATCAAGCCGGATGCCAGTGGCTCATACCTGTAATCCCAGCTACTCAGGAAACTGAGATCTGAGAATCCCAGATTTTTGGGGTTTTTTGTTTTGGCTGTGGGGCTTGACTCAGGACCTCAAAGCCTGAATGCTGTTCCTAAGATTTTTCACTCAAGGCTAGCACTCTACCACTTTGAACCATAGCTCCATTTCTGGTTTTCTGGTGGTTAATTGGAGATAAGAGTATAAAAGAAGCTGGGCGCCGATGGCTCACACCTGTAATCCTACTTACTCAGGAGACTGAGATCTGAGGATCGAGGTTCAAAGCCAGCCGGGCAGGAAAGTCCATGAGACTCTTATCTCCAATAAATCACTAGAAAGCTGGAAGTGGCGCTGTGGCTCAAGCGGTAGAGCACTTGCCTTGAGCTGAAGAGCACAGGGACAGCGCCAAGCCCAGAGTTCAAGCCCCACGAACAACAACAAAAAAAAAGTATAAAAGATTTTCCTATCAGAGCTGGCTTCAAACTGGCAATCCTCAGATCTTAGCCTCTTGAGTAGCTAGGATTACAGGCATGAACCAATGGTGCCTGGCTAGATATTTTATTCACATTTATTTATTTATTTATTGGTCATGGGGCTTGACCTCTGGGACTGGGCACTGTTCTTCAGCTCTTCAGCTGAAGGCGAGGGCTCTACCACTTGATCCACCGTGCCACTTCTGGTTTTCTGGTGGCTTATTGAAGAGTCTCATGGACTTTCCTGCCTGGGCTGGCTTTGAACCACAATCCTCAGATCTCAGCCTACTAAGTAACTAGGATTACAGTTGTGACCCACTGGTGCCCACTCCATGAGACTCTTTTTTGTTGTTGTTGTTGTTGGTCGTGGGGCTTGAACTCTGGGCCTGGGTGCTGTCCCTCAGCTCTTCAGCTCAAGGCGAGCGCTCTACCACTTGAGCTACAGCGCCACTTCCGGTTTTCTGGTGGTTTATTGGAGATAGGAGTCTCACGGTCTTTCCTGCCCGGGCTGGCTTTGAACCTCGATCCTCAGGTCTCAGCCTCTTGAGTAGCTAGGATTACAGGCGTGAGCCACCAGCGCCCGGCTCCATGAGACTCTTATGTCCAAAAAACTACTCAGGCTGGTCGCCAGTGGCTCATGCCTGTAATCCTAACTACTCAGGAAGATGAGATCTGAGGATCTCGGTTCAAAGCCAGCCTGGGCAGGAAAGACTGTGAGATTCTTATCTCCAATAAACCACCAGAAAATGGAAGTGACACTGTGGCTCAAGTGGTAGAGCACTAGCCTTGAGCTGAAGAGCTGAGGGATAGTGCCCAAGCCCAGAGTTCAAGCCCCACCACCAACAAAAAAATAAAACTACTCAGGGGCTGGGAAGGTGGCTCAGTGGTAGAGCGCTTGCCCTTGCATGCCTGAGGCCCTGGGTTCGATTCCTCAGCACCACATAAACAAAAAGAAAAAAGCCGGAAGTGGTGCTGTGGCTCAAGTGGTAGAACGCTAGCCTTGAGCTGAAGAGCTGAGGGACAGCGCCCAGGCCCAGAGTTCAGGCTCCAGGACTGGACCAAAAAAATAAATAAATAAAAATAAATAAAACTACTCAGGGGCTGGGAAGGTGGCTCAGTGGTAGAGTGCT